CTGCTGAATCAAAACAGAATTTCAAAGGATGTTACAATCCCCAAGTCAAAAAGTTATTTGAAAAATGTTAGATTTGGGAAAGAGAGCCTCGAAAATTAGGTGATCTTGTTATTGTCCTTTCGAATGGGCGTAATCCCTTCTGATTATGATGGAGCCCTAATGTCTCGACCCAGGTATGATTTGGGATATGATCTAAATCTACCAAGAAAGATTTAGGTTAAGAAGGTTTCCTCAAACCCATCGTGATTCAAATCTATGATGTTGCAAAAGAGAAATCAGGACAATTGAGAATTTTAATGTTCAATCGAATTGAAAATAAGAATGTCAGAGTTTGTGTATTTAAAAGGTTAAAAGGAAAACCCTCCCCAGTAGTCGAAATAAAAGCTAAAGCTTTTGTCTTCAAAAGGTTAAGTGAGGATCCTTCTTCTTTTACCCAAATTGATAAGAATGTACAAGCTCTTTAGAAGTCATCCTAAAAATAATTTGTATTTTCTCGACTTGGAATTAAAACTTCTAATCCAAATTCGAAGTCTGAACAATCAAGAAGAAGACGAAAACATCAAGAAGTTTACCTATCTCTAAAGAATAATGAAAGATAAGAAAGAAATCTTTGTCATATAGCTTTTGAAGAAGCTCTCGACTCAGAATCCAAGTCCGAAAATTCTGTCACAACAGATGAACCTAAATTGCCTACACCTACATTTGAAGAAGGAGGACAAGCTACTATGGATAACTTGAAACAATTGAACTTGGAGATTGAAGAAGACCCGAGACCAGTATTTGTAAGTGCACTTCTCAGTCAAAAAAGGAATCCGATTATATTTATTTGCTTTAGGAATACAAAGACGTGCTTGCATGGTCTTACAAGGAAATGTCGGGGTTAGATCCTAAGGTTGCAGTGCATGATCTTGCACTAAGACATGGAGTTTGACTGACCAATCAACCTCAAAGAAGATCTTGACAAGAACTGATTCCTCAAATTGAAGTGGAAGTCAACAAAATTATTGAAGCTGATTCATACGTGAAGTTAAATACAAAACGTGGATTGCAAACATTGTTCCTGTCAAAAAGAATAATGGACAATTACAAATTTGTGTTGACTTTTAGGATCTGAATCAAGCATGTCCATAGGGTGACTTTCTACTTTCGATAACAAAGTTGCTGGTTGACGCAACTACTAAATATAAAGTCTTATCTTTCATTGAAGAGTTTTCTAGATAGAACCAAATATGGATATATCCGTAAGATGGGGAACTCACATCATTCTGTACTTCAAAGGAAATATATTGTTATAAAGTTATGTTTTTTTCAGTAAAAAATGCAGGGGCAATCTACCAGCTGGCAATACAAAAGATCTTCGATGATATGCCGCATAAGAACGTCAAATGCTATGTAGATGACCTTGTTGTTAAAACAAAGACACGTGATATTTATTTACAAGATTTACGGGAGGTTTTCAAAAGACTTAAAAGACATCAATTGAAGATGAATCCGCTAAAGTGTGCATTTGGTGTCACTTCTGGAAATTATTGACTTCATTGTTCGATACCAGGATATTGAAATAGATCAATCAAAAAATGACGCCATAATCAACATGCCAGAGCCAAGAAATATATGTGAGCTTAAAAGTTTTCAAGGAAAACTTGCATACATTTCTAAAATTTATCTCTAACCTTGTCGAACATTTTCATCCATTCAACACATAAGTGAAGAAAGATGTACCATTTGAACGGGATGATGCTCGTCAAAATGCTTTTCTAAGCATTAAACAATATTTGTCTCACTCAGTACTCACATCTCCAGTCCCAGAGAAGCCACTAACTCTTTATGTTGCAACATAAGAATATATTTTAGGAGCACTTCCTATCCAAATCAAAAATGAAGGAAAAGAAAATGCGCTATTATTTGAGCTGGACACTGGTAGACACTGAAATGAAGTATTCACTTATTAAAAAATATGCTTTGCATTAATCTTCGTGACTAAAAAATTGAGATAATACATGTTATCAGACAGTCAATTTTCTTTCGAAGATTGATCCATTAAAGTACATAATGTATAGGTTGATTCTTTCTGGAAGGATTAAAAAATGGGTACTAATGTTATCCAAGTTCGATATCAATTCATTCCTCAAAATGTCATTAAAGGACAAGCTTTGGCAAATTTTCTTACTAACCATCCAATTTCCAGCAGAATGAGAACTTCAGGAAGACCTTGTTGATGAAGAAGTTCTATTTACTGAGGTCATACCACCATGGAGGTTATACTTTGATAGGGCACTCCGAAGTTATGGTACCGGAGTAGGAGTAATGTTTATCACTCCTTATGATCTCATCATGTCTTACTCTTTTACCTTAATAGAGAAATGTTCAAACAACGCAGCGAAATATCAAGCCCTTATCCTTGGTTTAGAGACAGCATTAGATATGCATATCCACCAGCTAAAAGCCTTTCGAGATTCTAAATTGATGATCAACCAACTTTTAGCTGAGCATAAAGTCCATAACCAACTTTCAGCTGAGTATGAAGTCCGTAATTCAGATTTGAAGCAATATCATGAATACGAGTCAATGCTTATGAGACGACTTGATTCATTAAAAATCAAATTCGACCCTAAAAGTAAAAATAAGGAAGCTGATGCCTTAGCTAATTTGGCTACTATTTTTCCTACTCCATATCAATTGCTCAAAGATAGTTTCTTTCGTCGCCACTACCCACTAATTTGAAAGAAAACAATAGTGTCGAAATAGTCGAAGATAAGGAAAGAAAAGATTGGAGATAACCAATAATCGGTTTCCTTCAAAATCAAAAGCTACCATATAATCTACGGTGAAAAACTGAAAACAAGAAGCGTGCCTCTCGCTTCATCTTTTGTAAGGGAATGCTATATCGACAATCATTTGATTTATCTTCAATGCAAGTAATAATGAAGCAACACATGTCGTAGAGAAAGCCCTCTCTGGAATCTATGTGGCCTATCAGTTTGGACCCAAACTTCATTTTCAAATAAAGAGGGTGTGGTACTACTAGCTGACTATGGTACAAGACTCCATGGATTATGTAAAAAAATTGTGAAACTTGCCAAGTCCATACAATTTTTATCCATCAACCTCCGGAACAATTACATCCTACAGTAGCTTCATGGCCATTTAATGCGATGAGTCTTGATGTAATTGGACTCATAACTCCAAAGTCTTCAGTTTGGCATGTATACATCCTCACAGGACCGACTACTTCTCTAAATAAGCTAAAGCTTTACCATTGAAGGAAGTAAAGAAAGAAAATGTTGCATATTTTATTCCTATCAAAATCATTTATTGATATGGGGTCCAACGACATATCACAACTGATAATGACAAATCATTCTGCAATAACCATATAAATAATTTATGTGCAAAGTTTGGATTTAAACAATACAACTCGTCCATGTTCAATGTGACAGCTAATGAATTGACAAAGGCATTCAAAAAAACATTGAACAGTTTGCTAAAAAAGATTCTTTTCCAAATAAAAAAGAAATTGGCATGAAAGAATTGGTGAAGTCTTATGGGCTTATCAAACTATTTATCGGACTTCAACACAAGCCACTCCTTACGCTTTAGTCTATGGAGTAAAAGATGTACTTCCTATAGAGTGTCAAGTCCCAACACTTCAGATTGCCATCCAAGAAGGTTTGACAATGGAAGAAAATGATCGTCTTCGATTGGAAAAGCTAGAAGCTTTTGGATCAGAAGAGATTAAAAG